AGCAGGTGTTGTATGTAAGCAGCAGGTGTTGTGTGTGGCAGCAGGTGTTGTGTGTAAACAGCAGGTGTTGTGTGTAAACAGCAGGTGTTGTATGTAAGCAGCAGGTGTTGTATGTAAGCAGCAGGTGTTGTATGTAAGCAGCAGGTGTTGTATGTAAGCAGCAGGTGTTGTGTGTGGCAGCAGGTGTTGTGTGTGGCAGCAGGTGTTGTGTGTGGCAGCAGGTGTTGTGTGTAAACAGCAGGTGTTGTATGTAAGCAGCAGGTGTTGTATGTAAGCAGCAGGTGTTGTATGTAAGCAGCAGGTGTTGTATGTAAGCAGCAGGTGTTGTGTGTGGCAGCAGGTGTTGTGTGTAAGCAGCAGGTGTTATGAAGGAACGTCGACCATCAGTGTTCCAGACAGCGGCAGTCAGCCACGGGGAAATCAAATGCTCATCTGAATGTTATTCTGTATTATGACTGGAGCGTGTGAGCGTAGCAAGGAACATCAGCGACTCCCCCGACCTCACTTCTTGCTCCTCACTCACTCACTCACTCACTCACTCACTCACTCACTCACTATCATAGTTTCAGTACTCGGCTACTACGGTTGTAGAAATCTGATGGAAGTTGTTCAGTAATGTAAAAAGCAGAATCGCTTGGAGCAGAGACGTATTTGCTTACTGTCTTCTGCTGTGCTGTTACACTCTCTGAGCAGACTGTCACTGACGTTCTATGAACAGACAGCCATTGTGGCACTCTGTCAATAGACGGCCACTAACAATCTATGAATAGATAACCAGTGTGACACTCTATGGGCAGTCAGAACAAGCACGAAATATACAGAGTACTATTGGACCATTTGTCAATGCTTCAATATCCCTAACAAACTGTTGTACACACACACACACACACACACACACACACATATATAATATATATAATATATATATATATATATATATATATATATATAATATATATATAATGTATATATATATATATATATATATATATATATATATAATAATATATATATATAAATAGCGTGTGTGTGTGTGTGTGTGTGTGTGTGTGTGTGTGTTTATATACCTTTATGCAGATGAAGGACTCTTCATTCAAGGAATTGGAGCTATCCCCCCTTCTTAGGATCAAACTTAACTAGCTCCTATTCCCAATGGTGTGATCCTATGGGTTTAGCGTTTCCCCCATAAATACAATAACGCAATAATAATAATAATAATAACAATAATACATGATAATAAAATGACCACATATTAGAGATAAACTTGCTGGAGGAACCAGGTAGCACCGTGCCCAGAAAACGACACAAAAGCAGTAATGGGATACTATTTCGACGACCTGTCGCCTGCTCAGCAGGTGTTTTTAAAGTCCGAATCAGTTTTCCAGTTGCTGCTTCTGTGTTTATTTTCATCAGTACAACTGGTGGGCACTCCACTGCCATCTATTGTTTGTGTTTTTTTTATTCGCCTGGAGACCCGGAGCGTCACTCGAAGGAGGTGGGATTGTGAGGGCGAGGGTTGAGGATGGTTGTGTTGGTGAGTGTGAGGCGATGGTGAGAAGCCTGAGTGCCGTTGTCAGTGCCTATGGTCTTGAGGGGTAGTTGTTCCGTCCTCAGCGCGGTGGTGACGCGGGTGCCCGTAGAGTCCACAGCGTCCCATTCCGCCCGGCCGAAGCGGCCACCGCGGCTGGCGCACCAACAGAAGACGTGCTTGTTGAAGTACTTTCTGAAGGTGCCGCTGACGCAGTAGAGCGCGATGGGATTGATGCAGGAGTTTATGAACGACAGACAAAAGCCGACTATCCGGAGAGAGTGCCAGTAAATGTCGTAACTCTCCACGGAGTTTGGTGCAAAGTGCCACCAGAGTGTGAAAACGTTTAGGGGCAGGAAGCAGATGGCGAAGATGATAACGAAGGCTAACACCATCTTCGCCACTTTTCTTCGCGCCTGCGCCTGCCGCTGCTGACCCGCAGCCTCCCCTGGCAGGTGCTGCGCTGACACCAGAAGATGCCGCGCCATTAGGATGTAGAAGGAAGCGATGAGTGCCAAAGGAAGAATGTAATAGCCTATCACCTTCACCAGAGCGTGGATCTTCGGGTAGAGAGGACCTAGGTACTCTGGGAAAGGAGTACAGATGTGGTATTGTTTGCCGGTGGGCGTGAACATCGTAGGCGTGCTGGAGAAGAGAGCTGCGGGCGTGGCTAGGAGGGCAGCCACCACCCAGATCCCGACAGCGACCATGATAGTGAGGCGTCCTGCTGAGTCTGACACATGGTGTGACACAGGGCGCACGATGGCCATGTAGCGGTCTGCGCTGAGCGCAGTCAGGGTGAAGACGGTGATCCCAAGACTGAGGTCCTTAGCGAACTCTGAGGCGCGGCACACAGCCTCACCGAAGGGATAGGAGTCCAAGGTGTACACTAGGGAGGTGAAAGGCACTGTCAGGAGCACCATCAGGAGGTCTCCTGCCGCCAGGGACACCAGGTGGGTGTTGGGAGTACTT